ACTCTATTCTGATAACAGAGCCACTCTATTCAGCACAGATCTGGTTTTGCAGCGAACACACACACACACACACACACACACACACACACACACGCACAAACAGTATTTTATTTACCTGCAGACATACAACCACACATACACACACCCAGACAGTTCTATATATCATAATGTCCCTGTTATTAATTTCTTCTCTATAGAACATTAACATACCTCCGACATTGATTTGATTTCTATGTGATTGCTATTTACTGTAAAATTTTACCATCGCCAACATGATGTATAGATTTTTTTTTTTTCTCAGTTATTGATTATTTTCATTTCGTGTCGTTATTGCCGTTTGGTAATGTGAAAGAGAGAACACTGACATGAGCGTGTGTGTGAATATCATATACTCATACATATGGCCTGCAAACACATGTTAGCTCATATATTTTTGTCTCTTCATGTCTCTGTCTTTCCCTTTTTTCACCCTCCATCACATCCATCATCTTCGAGGCGACTGCCCGTGAATGCACAGGGCCCCATAAAGATTAGCTGTTCTCTCTCTTGTCCCTTTGCCCATCCTCCAACAGTCACTCTCTTACATCTGTGTCACACTCCATCAGCATCCAGCTAAACATCTCATCCATGCTGCTACACTCCACTGACCGCCATCTCTGTAACAAGTGATCGATTCCCTCCTGCCAGGTTTGAGCTGCCCTGTGTCTTACTTCATTTGGGTACAGATGAGGCATGGGAGTAAATTGTGACAAAGGGACTTGCTGGGTGAAGACTGAGGTGGTGTTCTACTATGTGAATGGAAGTACCATTATCATCATCATCATCATCATAGTGTTAGATGTAGTATCTGCTGGGTTTGACTGACATGGATTCATTTGCGCCATCCAGAGGGGAGGGGTTCATGTCCAGGATGTGAGGGGTCTGCAGAAATCTTCTCTGCCTTCCTTTTCGCCTGTGAGGTGTACAGGTCCTCCACGGAGGGCAGGCTGGCACCAATTATCTTTCCTGACTGCCTGTTGGAGTCTGTTCCTGTCCTATTTGGTTGCTGAACCAAACCAGATAGTGATGGATGAGCAAAGAACAGATGATTCCTCTGTAGAACTGTATCAGCAGTTCCTGGGGCAGGTTGAACTTCCTGAGATGGCGCAGGAAGTACATCTTCTGCTGTGCCTTCTTAGTGGCGGTGCTGATGATGGACGTCCACTTCAGGTCCTGGGAGATAGTGGAGCCCAGGAACTTGAAGTACTCTACTGCTGATACAGTGCTGCTGAGTATGGTAAGGGGGTGGGGGGCTCCTCCTGAAGTCCACTGTTTTTATAGGAATATTAGTTTATTACTTTATTATTATTATTTTGTACTTTCCACCAATGACCCTATGAACGTACAACTATACACATGGTAGTGACTGGGTGCTGGAGATAGATGGATAGGAGGAAGTTTTACTGAAACAGTCTTTTCTACCGCTTAGAGCAGCTTGTTTAAAAAAAAAAGTGAACTAGTTAATTTTAGTATGTGAACTGAACTTTGAGCTAGCTCCTGTGAAGTGTGAACACTGTCCATCCTTGTAACTAACCAACTGACCAACATACATATTGACAGAATAAATAGTCTAACAGTCTAGTGTACTGTACATAACCCCCCAGCTGACTGACTAAGAGGCTTCCTCAACTGACTAATTGACTGTCTGGCTGTCTTAATGATTTTGTAATCAGGGAATTGATATGTGTTTATAAAGCAACCATAGCCACGGCCACTCTGAGTGTCTGAATAACAGTCCTGGCTGGCAACTGTCTCCGTCCCTCCAAACAGAGGGAGAGAACTGAGTGCTGTTAGCACAGAGCAGAGAGGACAGCTATTGATTTTCTACTTGTCTATTATTTGTGTTTTTTCACAGAGAAAAGACAAGTGAATGAGTGTAGTGCGTTTGTGTGGACGAGAGGGAGCGCCTCCTTATATATAGTCCAGAAGTGTGTTCACATGTGGATCTGCCGTCTGTATGTTTGCCATTAGCTTTTGGCTGTGGCAGGGTGAACATATCCTGTGTGTACTGTTGCTTCTATGCTGCGGCCGTTCAAAGTTGATTCCCAGCCAACAAAAACAGTGATCTATGTACTCCTCACACTGCTCACTAATTGGATGGAAACTGACAGGTGGAAGAAAACATGTTTTTGTGTGCTGTGTGAATCACTGTTTTGTGTGTATTCGATTTAATCTCAACAGACACTTTCCTATCTCAGGAGTTGTCAGTGATAATGAACTGAAGTTGTTGGATCAACTTTGCACTAAAAATTTGTTCCAACTCATGCGAATAGATTAAAAAGGCATTAAAAAAAAAAGAGAGAGCAGCAAACCACACTGGTTGCTTTTAAGCTCACAGTACAGTTGCTGCCATGAAATGTCTAGATGATCTTGAAGTCCCTAGATCTCTCAGATACTGTATTCTTCATCAGGGTAGGCTTTAATGTAGAGCATTGTATTAGACTGCATGAGTTTCACCTTGGTGTAAACTAGTAACCGTGTGTACGTCTTAAATTCAATACAGACCTTGAGCTTGAATATTTGACTGCCCTCCTGCCCGGGGTGTCGTGCATAAAAAGCTTTTCCTGTCTTTAAATTATCCAAGTGTGGGTGGCGGCCATCCAAATTTGGACCTGGGGTGTCAAATTGAACTGTGTGTACTATGGGAGGTGCTAGGGGTCAGCTTGAAATTCGGGAACTGCTTCATTCACTATTCATGTGGCATAATGTCCCATCACACTGCTGTATAGGAGTGTGGCAAAACCAGCACAACCGCCGCCACACTCACGCATGCAAGCACATGCACACCTTAATGTGTGCATAAACCTCTGCACACACAGAGACACTTCACACATGTGCATATGCAGACGCACACTGTGTCCCTTTATACATTAGTACGTGAGTGGAACAGTAAAGCTAAATCCCCTTGTCACATTTGCCGCTCATCTCCAATTCAATGGCACATGCTGCGATGCCCTCGGATGCACTTGGCAAGCGAACAGCTAACCTGCCCGCCAGCATATCTGCCTGTCAGCCGAGCACCAAGGTAGTTAGCATGCCAACTAGCCTGCCCAGCAGCCACAAGCTAATGCTTCACTAACCCTGGGTGCCCCTGTGTCTCTTTCGTTGACTGTGTGTTTACTTGTACCATATAGTAGAATGTTTTGTTGTTTTTTTTACGGTCATCTATGAGTGTTTCTTATGTTAAATCGACATATATAGATGATCCATAATAACCTTGTGCCATGTTAAAACCTTGCCAAGTCACTTTAGAAGTATTTTTTATATACAAACATTAAAAGTTATAAGGCTGCTCTATGGGGGCTTCGTCGTCTCTCCTTTTAATCTGATCCTAAACTAAGAGGGGGAGGGGATTTTAAGAGCTTTCATTTTTTTGACAGCTTTTAAAACTTTTGCAACTTTCAAGTACAGAAATGATTTTCAGTTTTTTACTAGAACCATTCCAAACCAAGTTGTTCACTAGATCTTCAGAAAAAAAAATGGTTTGTGTGTGTGTGTGTGTGTTTTCTCAAGTTGGTGGCAAGCAATAGTTTTACTCCAAGTCCATCTTTTCTTGTTGTTTTTTTGTTTTGTTCCCCCCCCCCACCAGAAGCAGTTGATATACAGCAGATAACACAAGGCAGGCAGCCAAGCAGCACAGAGATACAGTAACATAACGGTAAAAAAAAAAAAAACCTCCCTACTCATGCACATAATTTAATGGGTAATGGGATAAACCAGTGTTTATATATGTTACCTTATTTTCACAAGACAGGTGTGAAACATTTTTCATAGAAAAAAATGCCACTCCAAAAGAATCAGTAGTATGAGCCTGATACAAAGCATTTGACATCATGCTCTGACACGTGTTTGTTTAATGCACTTATTCAGTATAACATATAACAAATGCAGTAGATGAACCTCTAAAATCATCAGTAATCAATATTACATGCATGTAGAAGTAAAAAGTCCACAGTCGTCTTCCTGAGGAGTCTGCCTTGTCTGTCCTCTCACTTCATCGCTTAGTGTTGGTGCTATGGCAACAGCACAGAGTCCTGATATGCAGGCAAAGGCAGCAAAAGCTCATGGATTTTAAGGTGGAATGAAGGAATAGAATGAAAGCATTACTGAAAGGCACTGAAATTACTTGCACGCTGCAGCCTCTGCAGAGTAATTGTGGTGCCTTGCTCAGAGGTTTAGTCTAGTTTAGTTTTATTTTAGGCAAGTTTGTTTGAATGGTTCCTCATTTCTTATATAATTGCTCTGGTCGGGTTAGTGTGGCCACAATATTTCAAGTGTAGGTCTGTTGTACAGTACCAGTGGACCATTTCACACCTTCCCTGCAGTTTGTGAGTCACTGTATTTGAACATGGCTGGCTCTTAGCAGCTGTCCTATTTATTATTTTTTAAACACCAGTTGTGTTTACTAAAGGCCAAAGGCTTTCAGGGCACAAGTGTGACCTTCTATAACAAGAGGCCACAACAGGAACAGGCTACATTTACTCCATACTCCATAATATGTAAGCGTCATGCATGACTTAATCACTTGGAGGATGCTGACTAGTCAGCCGGTTAAATGCAGGTGTTCTAGTATTTTTCTTTTTATTTTTCCTAAAGAAAGTTTCTGAAAAATGAACCTTGCTTTTAATTTTCAAGGATCATCTCCCACAGTCAAAGAAAGAACCCCAAAGCTTCTGGCTTAGGAGCTGGCAGAACTGCCGTTGTCTTTTTTTGCTACCTTTGTACCCACTGAATATGTCTTGATGTCGAAATACCAAAAATGAAGCTACATCCATTTGTTCTTTCTCTCTGTCATCTTCCCTCCTTTTTTTAAAGACTGGCCATAAATAACTGTAATTTACTCATCAGTAATATTAAACACTTGTGAGTCTCCCCTGGGGTTCAAATAATGTAAATTTATAATTTGATGGTTTCTCTTCTTCTCTGCCCTCTCCCATCATGTCCCCTCCCTCCTTTTTCAGAGCTTACAGATGAATCACGGCTGAGAAATCCAAAGAACGCAGGAGCAGGAAAAGAAGAAATGGAGAGAACATGTTAAATCCATCAGTTTCTCGCCTCCCTCTGTCTTTTTTCTGTCCATGCTTTTTTTTTTTGTTGTTGCAGTCACTGAATAACCCCCTCCTATTTTCCATTCGCCATCTTACTTGGTTTTTGAGTGTATTATCTTGATTTGTCACTCCAGAGTGTATGATGTGTTGATTTATTGTCAAGTTGCGCTGGCACACCTCTGCCATTGCTGAAATAAATCCCAGTGATCCGGTGGTGATGAGACTGCACGCTGTGTCTTGTGTGTGTCCTGTGTGTGTATGGCCAATGGTCTCTTGTCACATCATGCTAACAATGGTTCCACTACTGAAAATGGGGTAGTGTGCACCTTTCTGACAATGCTGTGCAGGCCCAAGGGCTTGACTGTGCGCTGTGCTCACGGTCTCATAGAGGGGAGAGGAAAGGGAAGGAAATGAGGGAGAAATGAAGTGGAGGATACATGAATAGTGAAGTGTGCATGTATTAATATCGATTTTTTTACTATTCTGAACCCATGTACATGTGCCATCATGTAACAGTGCGTGATTGTGCGCAAATGAGCAACACAGTGGACAAGCCACTTATTGCCACTGCTAGCTGTGTCCATGGTGACGGCAAGGGTTGGTGCCAGTGGCAAGGTGTGAAGGAACCTTCCAGATAACCCTGAAGGTCAGCACATAGCTACAGCTGCTCTGTGCTCAGACACTTAGCCCCCTCCCTGTGCATGTGTACTTGTATGGTCAACAGTGTGAAGGTTTTATACCATGGGAGTGAGGACATTTTGGCTGATCCTCACTTTCTCACACTCCCTTCAAAAGGCAGTTTGAGGGTTAAGACTTGGGGGTTTTAGAATCAATGTTAGAATTAGGTTTGAGTTAGGATTAAGGTAAGGCATTTAGTTGTGATGGTGAGGGTTAGGGAATGCATTACTGTATGTCAATGAATGAACTCACAACTATAGTAAAACACGACTCGGTTAAGATGGACTTTCACTTATGTATAGACATGGTCGGCCTCCCATGAAGTGGCACGGGGATGTAACGTCTCACACACACACACACACACACATACACAGATTCAAGATCTTTATTGTCAAATAGAACAGTATTATTATACTGTTCAGTGAATTTCTTAATTCGCCAGTCTCCCTCAATCAAAAATAAAATCAGCAATACTGTAAATAAACGGCAATCAAATCAATATAAATATGTGTATATGTGCATTAATATTGTGCAGACGTCCCACAGCAGATTGACAAAGAATATTAATGGATCTAGAATATGCCCATGTACTTGTTCCTAGGTATAAGTCCACATTCACACAAGGGACAGTCAGTGCGAGCGTAATGGAGTGTATTTGTTAATGATAGCTATGAGGAGTGATCTATTGATCATAGCTGATTTCCACTTGCCACCATGGCATCAATCAGGAAGTCACATGCACAGCGACACTGACTAATCCATACAATATACAGTATGTTCTGTTATAGAAATCTAGTAAAGTGAAATATGGAGCCCGATGAAATGAGTTTAGGAGTGTGTGCATCTGTTAGTCCAGTTTTGTGTGAGAGTCGGTGAACACCTCCAACTACAAACTCCATTTCCTTGCCAGGGATTAGGCAGCTCTAACCCAACACATGATGCACATATTACCTAGCACCATATTAGAGGTTTCAGCCAGTGACTCTCATATCCCATCTCTCTCCCTGACATTTCTTTACAAATACCAGTCTCTATTCACCCTGTTATTGCCTTCTCCATTCAGCAATTCTCTGATTAAACAAGCTCCTGAAAAGCCCGGGCACTGCTATCTGCCATTTGGCTTTTATTAGAAACCCAACCCTTTAATTAAATTGGCTGAATTACAGAAACATCAGGGATATTTCACCAATATATCGGATAAGAGAGCACAGTGGGTGGAAAAAAATGGAAGACTGGGCTTTATGAGATGTTTTGAATGCAGTTTGGTAGTGAAATGAGATAAACACAATCTTGATGGCGGAGTAATGTTTTTTTTTTTTTTTTTAAGGAGGCCTGGGTTTGTTCACGCTCAGTCTCATCACAGAACATGCACCACAGCTGAAACTTTTTTTTTTTTTTTTTTTATCTTAGGAGCTCAATTTATTTTTCAACCCTGCACTGTCTGTGTCATGCCTTTCTTTTCCCGCCTTATTACTGTGAAAGACGTGGGATTGCGGTCTCCATGGTAACCAGCCCAGCTTTGATTGGAGGAGACAGCTGCATGATGTGCGGTTAGAAGAATGCTGCTCACGCCTCACAATGCGCCATTATTGATTTCCAGTCCTCAACAATTACTGGGCCCAGTTGACTACAACAGGTTTCAGAAAATGCACGTAAAGCAGTGTGTGTGTGCGTCTTGCAGCCAACATACAGTAATTGCCTTTTCCAGCCACTTAGGTGCAGGTGTTTGTCTGAAGAGCAATTCTTTATGTTGTTACCAGAGCTTTAACCCCTCAGATAGCCTGCAGTTTGAGCTGGAGACAAGTTTGACAGTGAGCCACGGAGCCTCATCTTATATGTTTTAGCAGCTCCACACCGGCTCCTTTGTTCGGCTCTTGAAACGCTGCGTGTCGGCTGTTCTTTCTCATCCAGCTGAAGAGGTGTCAGCAAATGAGAGGTGGTGTCAGACTTTGACAAACTGCTGCCCTTTGTAAAGACTTAATGGGGATCAATTCAAGTAAAGTTAGACACTTGTAGAATTCACTTGCAGTCAGATAAAAATACTTGGATGCTCACACACACACACACACATTCCCACACATACCTGCCTACTTGTTTATGGAGTTAACCCACTGCCTTCATCCTTTGCCCATACTCTTCTCTCTCCCTCACTGTTTCCATTCCTCTTTGCTTCTCTCTTTCCTCAGCCAACTTGGCATTATATAAGTGAGAAGTCGAACAGTGAGCCTAATTGGAGTGTGTGTCTCCATCAGTGACAGTCACCATTCTGTTTCTGCACGCAGCGCACACACTCACATGGAGCTCTCTAGCTAATTGAATAGTCTTTTATTAAACTGTGTTAATGTGAGCTGGAACCGGCTGCTGGTGAATTGAATTAGCCCCCCCACCACTAACAACTATGCACATAAACACGTGCAGCTCAGTGAAGCAGCTGAAGAGACTGAGCCTCAGCATGGGGGGAGGAAGAAGAGGAGGAAACAGGAGGAAAGAGAGAGGTAAGTGTTCTGTTGCATGAAGTGTGATGTTGGTGATTTAGAAACTCTCCATTTAGTGTTTGAAAGTGTGAAAGGTCTATAAGGCATGTTGCAATGAAATTCTGGCAAAATGTAGTCAGTTCAGATGTATGCAGTTTGGAAAATGTTAATTAAAGGGTCAGCCCACCCAATTCCAGTGTCATTACATCAGTGGTTCTAGAACTTTATCTGCCTCACTGCATAACTTAAATCTAGGTTTTGTTAGATATTTTTAGTCAGATAGATATTGGATAGATACTTTATGTATTAGAAATGTTTAGTGGAGATAGGATGTCTAGTTAAACTGTTAAATGCTTAGTCATGCTTATGAGTTTCTACAGGGTACATCTGGTCAAGGATAACTAGAGAGAAGAGTTGATGACTGTCAGCAGACAGGGTGTTTAATATTATTATTATGATGTGTATAACTGTAGCCTTAGCCATAACGTTCTTATGTTTGAGATACGACATGTACTAGAGGTCGTGAGAATGTTTTTAGCTACACACCACTTAACCAGTTGACATACACATTTACACATTGATTTGCTTCATGTTTTGACTACTGCTATGGCCAGCTGCAAAGCTGGCAACAGAGACATCTCGGTTGACGTTTCTGTGTAGTATGGGGCTAGCCCAACCGAGAGGATATAATGTATAGGCCTGGTGGGCTCAGGGTGTTCTATCTTACATCTGCCTGCGAGCATGGTGGAGGTGCAAGATATCTGAGCGTGTAATGTTAATTTTACCTGTGATCCTTTGAATAAATCAGCACTGTTTTGAAGTTACTTGTACTGTCTCATCTCTCAGAGTTAGCATGGTAAGACGGACCCTACCTTACAGCTTGAAACTTGAATCTAGACTCTAGACTAATCATGGGTAGTTAGAAGCTGAGCAGCTTAGACGCTAACAACATATAAATAAAGCAACTCTGGAAAATGCTGCATTTCTCTTGTTTTGATAGCAGTCAGCTTCCTTCATCTACCTCCAGCTTTAGCTGCAGGTTAATGCATCCTGGTCTAGGACAGCCTGGACTAACATATCAACTCTCTGTCAAAGTCCCGGCAAGAAAGCAAACAAGCTGACCTCCAAATTTAAAGTGAGAGAGCATTACTGGGATTAGAAGGTGTAATTTAATGAATTTGGAATTGTATCCTAAAGGGAATCATAGTACTTCCTGACTTCATAATGGTTATTGTCCAACACCAAATCACAACAATCCTCAGACAACATGTGAGATATTGATGGCAAATCATTGGTTAGATACAACCAGTAAGTGGGAAAATGTTTTTGTGTTCACCTTTTATAAGGCCTGTTCAAGGCCAAGAGACAACAAAGGTATAAAATAAACCTATTGTAGATATAACACAACACTACAAACCATTCTCATAATGCAGTGTCCTGTTGTAACACTTTCCTGGTCTATTGAAGTGCTTCCCCCTTCCCTTGGAGACAGGTAATAATACCTGTATGAACATATGTAGAAATGGCATGTAATGACCAGTAATCAAATAAGAAGTAGCATCTGCTTCCAAGCCACAACAAAGACCCTGGAAAAGCAATTTACACCTGCAGTAATTGTTATATTTGTGATGTTTTTATGTAGAGTTTTTCTTTAATTATGGAGTGAAGTAAGTCCCCACCAGTTCATACTTGATGTTAGTTGTAGTTGGTATAAGGTTTTTGTTTAACCCCTAGGAATAACCACCTCTTGTTTCATTCAGAATCTGCAGACAAAGATACAACCAGTAGTGGGATTTCAGAGAGAGAGAGTGCAGAGATAACCAGAGGGTCCTGATGCAGCAGGGGGCCTGACCAAGTGTCTGAAGTGAAATTCATGCTGTCACAGCATGGACCTCAGGGTGGGAGCAGTTCATGAACCCTACACTGTCATGGCTGACACCGGAGGAGAAGAGGAGCTTTAGAAGAAAGGCGGCAAAAGGAAAAGCAGACGACTGAACAAAC